AGGCCGAGCAGGGCTTGGCCCGGCCTCTGGCCTGGCAAGGTGCCGGGCGCCGGCATGACAGGTAGCCGAGGCATCAGAAAGGCCATCTCGGAGGCAGGGTATCTATTCCAGGATTCACTCTTCGCAGGGGTCCCGTTCTCTGTCGGTGGAGAGTGGAAACGTGGCCCCTCTGAACAGAAGGGTCAAGGCGTGTAAATCTGGAGAAGGGAGAGGGGGACTTGGCCTGTGCAAACCCACCGGCACGTGTGGCTTACGTTTGGTGGCTGGGTGGTGTCGCGGAGCAATGGCACATCCTTATTTGCTTTGTCCTGCCTTTCAGATGCCAATACCTTAACATTTTTTTTTTTTTTTAAATGTGTCCAACCCCTCAATAAGAAAGCAAAGTAGTTGGGAAATTTATTGGGTAATTTTTCTTGGAGCTTGCTCGTCTTTTAATCTGCCTGTTCACTAATCCAGTCACATCTCCCCAGATCAGTAGAGAATAGTAAAGCTCAAAGTAAACAGGACAGCTTTTGCCATGGAAACAAAAGTTGCTAGGGGATGGATTGCTACTACGCAGTGGTGTGCACTGAAGCTGTGATCATGCATCTCTCGTGGGTTCCTAGGCACCTCAGGTTTAGGCACTGAAAAACTTTTAATGATTAAACCACTTCCTGCAGCCTGGGTGCATGTTCTAAGCTCGTGTGTAGCACAGATTTGGGTTAACGGTGACTCTTGTCTTTTTAGTAAAAGTTTCCCAGTATTTCAGCATTTAGTTTCTCAGCTGTGGAAGTGAGACATGCAAATTCACATCAACACTCAAGAGATCATAGCTGCTGCAGTATTTATTAATCCAATGGAAAGGTGTGTCACAGGATCAATTTACTTTTTATTTATGGAGAGATGTTTTCTCCCACCATACTCGACTGTTTCAGTTCCTCTGCCTCATCTCTAAGTAGAGAGAACCACCTTAATGTTGACATTGCAGCTGAGGAAAGAGACCATTTTAGGCCAAATTACGGGGCTGCTTCAATGAGTCATATAGGGCTGGGAAGCTGCCTTCCCTTCTCTCTAAGGGACAAGATATTTTGCAAAAGATAGGAGATTACTTATAAGTGGAAGAATCTGGGCATAAAGGAAATGTTCAGTAGGACTAACGTTATGCAGTGCTTGAAAAGAATTAATGATGCTGGCAGTCTTTTTTTTTTTTTCCCTTCCATTTTAAAAGGTCATACTATTTGATGCTATCACAACTCTTTCAAACAAAAGATCTTTCTTTTGTTTTCTATTCTTCCTCCCAGCTCTTATTTATCATTTTGCTCATATGCCTGACCAAACCCACCCATTAGCAGTTTAGATTGCTAAAGAATCTATGTGTAATAGAAGCGATTCCAGGCTGTGTGGCTCTTAAGGCAATTCCTCATCAAGCTCTCAGAAACGCTATACTCTTTCTCTCTCTCTCTCTCTCTCTCTCTCTCTCTCTCCTAAACCTTGCATTCGCTGCACTGTCTGCAGGCAGCATTCATGCTGCTTTCTGTCACATTACATTGAGTTTTCTTCATTTAATTGCAATAACTACAGTTGCTGGTTCAGACTCGGCAGTGTGCTTCAGCTGCTTTTGGAATTCTGGAGAAACCAAACCAGCTCTAAAACTGTCTCCTGGTGGCAGCCAGAGTAATGCAAGTGAGCTTTGGTGGGCCATACTATCTGGTCATGTTAGGGCTGGTCCTTCCCTGTGTTGACCTTGTGGAGCCACTTACACCTGGGGAAGATATCTCCCTTTCTGCTCATTAGGTGATGCTAATTATGCTTACCTGAATGACTTAAGCTGACAAGGAGTTAAGAATAATTTATTTAAGGAGGTAGGGTTGATGCGAGAATAAAGATCTAAGTAAGCACCTGAGAGGGTGAGTCCCTGCAGAGCTTTGGTTGGCCTCTTTACTTTCTTCTCTTTCTGATGTGAGGGATGGAGTGCTTGCTTACTCATAACCAAGAGACATGCTGAGGGATATGGACATAAAGTATTCTTATCTTTGAGGTACAAGCTGCGTGACCCTGTGTGTGAGAGCTGGGGCAGTTATGATAAACTACACTGTTGCTTCATCCTCTCCTTTCACCCCAAGATATTTTTATGAGGTGGGCAGAACCCTGGTTTTATGAGAACTCTTCAGTGCTTGTCCTGTGGAAGATGGCAGCTAGCTGTTGAAGAAGTGGTGGCAGTGCGAAAAGAGGACTTATTTTCCTCTCTTGTCGGGTGAGGAATAAACAGCAGGAGGGAATCCCAAGGGAAATGAAAAGAACTCTTTTGCAAAAGAACAAACAGGCTCCAAAAGAGAAAAAGCAACCCCCTTTTTATTCAGGCTGTTGCCATTCCTTAGCTGTACTTCCTGGCTTCTGCTTGATTTAAACGCAGCAGCATTTGAAATACCTGAGTATGCAAGAAAAACATACCCAGCGAGAGCACCCATTCCTGAAGGGCAAAGGGCTGCAAAATTGGGAGCTCCTAGCTGCCATGAGCATGTCCAACCTGCCTTCCTTCCCTCTTAAGTAAAATTGCTGTGGCAATCAGATGAACTGCTTAACGCTGATACAAATTGAGCTGTGACATTCAGATGCAAGTACTGATTAACAGTTCCCTTTGGACTAAGACTTTTTGAACTTCCTTAAAGAGAAGTCAGTCAGCAACCTGTTGCTCAAGTTTTTTTTAGGGGCTGGTATTACTTCAATGGATTCAGTAGCATCGCAACATGTGCAAGCAAGTTCAGGCCTGGGACCTGCATAGTTAAATACAAATTTGGTGTATTAGAATAACTTCCATGAAGTGGAAAAAAAGTAGGGAACATCGTTGGTAGTTTTCATAGCAGGTCAAATTCTGATTCTATTAAAATC